ATATTGAAAATATTGAATTAAACTTAAAATTGATAGTAAAATTCTTTCAGATTTCTTAACTCAGTATTCTTAAATTTTGTTTTCTGCTGAAAAGAAGACACAGTCTTACCATTGACATAATGGCAGCAGAAAATAAATCTGCTCTACTATAAACTTGCTCCATTTTCCGCATGTTCATAATGTCAAATTATAAAAAGGAAAGTCAAAACCAAAGCAGAATTGTATAGAAGCATAGTTAACTACAAATTTGTCATGAAGGCAAGTATCACATCACATCATAGATGACAAAGTAAATCAGGGTACGCATAGATTTCCAAATGAACATCATTACCAGTTAGAGCAGAGAATGCCATGAGCCTGGTACTACTCCCTGTAATTGGGAGAAAAAAATGCTGGAATAAATGAAGTTGTTCACATTAACATATACTGCAGTACTTGACTTCACACCAACTCTCAAATTTTCTTAACAACATGTTCCTTTAATGGGGAGAAATTCTTAACATTTGCATTTTAAGTCAGTAATAAATTATGTATTGTTTCCTGAACTGTGAGTGAACAAACCAGTCTGTGAAGGGGTATGAGGTCAGACTTATAACGCTGTCATTTAAATTGTCTGACGTTGAAGTCAAACCGAAGTTTGACATTAGAGTGAGTATATCACAAATTTGTCAGGACTTCCCATCTAAACAGAAGCACGAAAGTATTGTGGTTTAAAAGTTCTCTCTCTCTCCCCCACATCCCCCACATTTCTTCCTTTTTTCTCACAGCTAAAGCCTTGAGAAAGTACTGAGCACTTTTGTAAATACTCATTTTATCACATTTTCTTGATTCTATTAATTGAAAGTGATTGCAGTCAATTCAGTGGATTTAAACAGAATATAGTACATGTGTTAGAAGTGGATCTCATATGAAGAGTCTGAAAATTGTATGGGGAATTTAAAATTGTGTCACAAATGTGTGTATGTATAGAGCATATCCATGTGTCCTTTTTCATGTCCATAAAGTGTCGGTAAAGAGGAGTAGCTATATATTCTGTCCATCATTGTTACTATATTTCGTCTTCACAGAACAAAATCTGCCTCGTTTTCATCCCAAACAGGCAATTTTAAAGTATGAAAATTACAGCATTCCATCTTGAGACACACTGATCCAATCCCAATCACATAGAATTTTATTTATCTGTGTGATTACTTGCTTAAAGACTATAGTAGTGGAAATATGGTTTTCACTCAAGAAATACACCATTTGAACAGAATTTGGCAATTGTGCTTTTCAAGAATGGTCATGTTCAGCTTAGCACTCTGACTAGTATCCATCATGGACAATTCTCAGTTCTGCACCGAGCATGTTAAAGCTGTAAACACACACATGCGTTTGAGTTGGATTTTCTCTGGTAGTTTATACATCATCTTTGTTCTTCAAGGCATTGTAATCAGCATTACTTTTGTTATTTTCCTGTTACTTCCTTCTGTATACGAATCCTTTCTATACAGAGGAAGGTAAATAGTAGACCCAGTGCACAGATTCTTCCTATTCCACATGACATGTCCCCACCAAAGTGTAATTGTACTAATAAACTCTTTATACATGAATTTTTTCAGTCATATGTGTTACCCATAATATGTCATTGTAAGCAGAAAAAGTGTGTTTATGTGTAAAAGAACATTCTTGTTATGCTCAGTGGCCTGTTTGTGGTTTCAAATGTCAATTTCTTCTGTGGCTTATATTGGACAATGTTGCTCAGTCCATATCTTTGTCTCCCCCCATTTCAGTAAAGTCTACTTCTCTGCTCCCCTAGTTTTGCAAAAGAGATGCACAGGCCTACTACCTGCCTCAGTTAATGTTTTTCACTAGGGGGTACATAATGTGACATATTATACAATGTGTCGTACCGTATGTTTTTAATAATGCTTCTGACATAAAATACTCGTGTAAGCATTCTGATTTATGGTTGAAATAAGTGGGGTCAGGATTTCACCATAAGAGTGTACTAATTTGTTTTAGGAATGCAAATTATTGTTTAAAAGTTCATCAAATCTCCACCTGTGTAACAGAAATTGTTTAGTGATTTTTAGTTTTAACCTTTACAGACCATGGCACTTCAAACAGAATTAAAACCTTTGTTTCATACTTTAATGACAGAATGTAGTTTCTCCATGTGGCACCAGAAATCTTCTTAGACACAAAAACTCTTAAAAAATTAATTTTAGATAGAAGAAAGAACTCTTCTCAAAATTAAATAGTGAAAAATGATGGCTGAACAATATTTAAAAATAATCCTCCATGTGCTTGCTTTGGGAGTTACTTATAGCTAAATCTTCTATACACAACCTCCAGGATTTATACACACGTGCACGTGTGTAAACAGATCCAGGCAACTAAGCTTAGAATTATAAAAAGTAAATATAAAAAGACTGATCTCTACAACGATAAATCATTTTGGGTTATTACAAGGTTATCTGATGAAGTAGTCAGTGTTTGTCAACATTTTTCTCTTTTGAGATAGTGTAAAATCCTCAATTGAAAGTGGTGATATTATTTTTTCCAGAAGTACATAAATGATAGCAAGTGTTTGTCATCTACCTATTTTGTCCATCCTCCTGTGGTAAAGTAGGAACGTTTGCTTCCCAGGGTCTAATCTGGCTCAGAAGAAATCCATGGAATAAGGCAGCGAAGGGGCCAGATGTGGATGTACTGCACAGCAGCTCTTGGTAGTTTTATTTAATATTCAGGGTAAAGTCAGAGAATAAGAATTTCTAGGGAAATTGTGACACTCAGCTATATTACATTTCTAAGCTTTCAAGTGACACAGTAACATTCAATATTTCTGGTTCTAGCAATGCCTAAAATTAGTTCTTGCATATGTAACTAGAAAAGGGGTAATTTTCATTTCTAAGTAGCTAAAGCATCTCTTTAGATATACTGAATATATTACCAGATATACTAGGTATAAGATATACAAAAATTTATTAAGGCTTATGTCTGTATGTTGTGCATTCTGAGAATTCAAGAACAAATTTGAAGGGATAATTGAAAAAAAAAATAAACCGCATCTCATTTCAAGGAAACAGATAATAGTAGGTAAAATGCTTAAGTTTGTCAAGGATGAATGAAAAATGCATGTACCAAATGACTATGCATATAACTGATCACAGCTTCCACATATGTATATTTGTTATAGATGTATGTATCTGCTTAAGTGTACCTATTTAATGCAAACATTGAAATACAATCTATTCCTGTTTTGCAGTGTTTTCCTATATGTGTATATGTATAAGAATGAGTCTTATAAAGATAAGATTAAATCTGACGAAGTGGCAAATGGTTTAACTCTTTGAGAGACAGAGATGAAAATACTTGTCTTTTAGAATTTGAAAAGAATGTGGACATACAGTAGAATATTTGGAAATATTTTCAGAAAGGAAAGCCCAGAAGATAGATTGATATTTTTTCTGATTTCCCTTTTAGATAATCAAATCCTTATTTTAATTAATTTGTTCATATAAATACAGCAGGATTGTTGTATTTTTTAAATAACTCTTTACTGAATATGCCAACAAGATAATATATAGTGTATAGTGAGGTTTTGAAGTTAACAATGCGTGCAACATGGCAGATTGCAGAAAACAGATAACGCAGACTTCAAACCATCTATTTTTCCATGTTAAAGATATAAAATATATCAAACACAGAACAGAATCAAGTGCGCATATCTCAGTTAAATTCAATTTTATGAAAGATCATCTTCAGGTATTTGGGACCAAGTGAAGATAACATTTTTTTTTAGAAGCTTATCTGTATCAGAATTCAGCTCTCATGAGGCACATATCCACAGAGCCCCAGTATAATATAATAAAATCTTGCCAAATCTCTTTTGTACTAGTTTTCCAGATGGACCACTAGCCAGCATCCTTTTAAAGAGCAAGACATTGTTTGCTGTACAAAAGTTTAATGCCAAATGCTTCAATATTGCCTGTAGTATCATTCGGGATATAACATGCCCTGTTCAGCAGAGTTCAGGGAAGGAGTGGTCATCAGCTTCCTAGGATTACCTCTGTGTTTAGAAGAGATCACCAGGCAAGATTTGATGAGGCTCAGAGCCAGTAAATTTTGGTTTTGGCACTCATTTCTATTTTGTTTTTCCACTGAGCTGGAAAGATAAGTCATAAGTAAAAGCATCATTCTCATGTTCTAAAGAAAATACTTTAATATCTCCATGTTAAATTTAAGGTGAAGGAGTACTATAAATGGAGAACTCAATGGGAATTAACCACTTCATTGTCAAAAGCTGAGACTGAACTTTCACTCCAATATAATTAATAAAGTGCCTTATGTAGACCCTTAAAAGAATAACACCACCACAATATGCATAAAGTTATTTTGTTTGCAAAATTAAAATCAATGCATTTCTCAGAGGGAGACATTTTCTCTCATGGAAAAATAAAATGATTGACAGAAAAATACAGTTGAGCTATTCTAGTAGCAAACAGCATATAAAACAGCTACTTCATTTTTCTGTTTTACTTGACATTCATCATAGTCCTTTATTGGCTTACAGGGAAAACTGCTAATAACTTTTCTGCCCAAAATAACCCAATCCCTAAATATTCTTATGAATAATAATATCTCCAATGAGAATGTGTTACCACAAAGTCCATGCATTTATCAGGTGTCTATTTCTGCCAGCAAAGCTACATGCAAGGAACACTTGTTACAGTGACAGAGCCTGTGAAAATGGGGACTTATTTGCAAGTAAGTCTTCAGAAGGAACCCAAGGACCCGGCAAAGCAGTATCACAACATATTAGTTGTGATACCGCTTTAATGTCATTTCACTTAAACTTTTAGTTTATTCCACTCACCAATCCTTTCTGTACATTTATGCCAGCTATTAATCGTATACAACAGAAGACGGGTGAGAATGTAAACCACTCATTTTCCTCCAGAGCCAATGAACCTATTCAATTCAGGACCTGGAAATGAACATTTTGGATAAGTGACTTCTGCTCTATAGCCTTTAGTTAATATCTGTGGTCAGACATTGGCACCAAGGGAAAATGATCCTAGTTTTATGAAGCCTAAGCAAAAACCTACTACTCTTAAACTTTATATCAACAAAAGATCATTGCCCATTTTTAATTCTGACTTGTTCCAAATACTTTACCTAGTGAAAATTGCCCATTACGTGTTCATCTAGTTGTGACCTGAAATGAAGTCTCAGCTGTTTGTGTGGCTGACACTTTGAAAAGTCCTGGACTCTATCCCAGGTTGAAATACACTAACCATTTCACAGGTGGATAGCAATTAGAACTGGGAGAAACATTCTTCAAATGAAACATATGACCTTTGAGTTGACTATGGCTGTGAAATTTTTAGACAATAGTTCCAGCTTTAAACATGAATTTTGGTATAAGTGGTTTGCTACTTTTTTTCAAAGGAGTATTTATAGAAAAGAGTATCCCATGCCAATATATATATATATTTCTTAACACTGAAAAGAAACATAAAATATGCTACCTTTAATTTTATTTTGATTTTTGATCTAAGTGAGTGATAGTCCACAAAGAGATATATATGTTTCATCATCTGAGATCAAAAAGAACTGTTTGTGGAAGCCTTCTGTTTTCACCCTGTTAGGACAGTAACCACATTTGTTATCAGTTTGAGCTTGTGGATCATTCACCTGCAGTATGGCTGAACTCCCTGAATAAGTCATTTGCTACAACTAAGGCGCCTAGCTCATTTTGAAACTATGGTATCCTGAGGACTAGAACAAAAGATGTTCATCAAGGAGGACAAAGATTCCTCCAGCACTAGTCACTGAAGTATGAAATTCTAGTAAATGCAAACTTTCAAAGGATGCCTTTTGAAATCGAACATACAGATAGTTATTTCAGTGAAATTAAATACTACATCCACACCCAATGAGAATCTCTGGCTCTATTTAATTTCAAACAAACTCCAGCATGCAATGGAAGCGTGCATAAGCACAACTATTTGCTGCTTGTCTTGTGGGCTTTGGCACTTAAAACATATTAAACAAACAAAACAAAAGTATCAACCTTTTCATCACAATCTTCAGTAACTAGGTCACAGAAAAAAAATGCTTTGCATAGACATTTCTACCTAGAATTATCCCATTTGAAATCATATGGCAGCCTTATATTTAGCAAAATTTCAGTGACTTTACTATTACAGTAGCCATACAGGTTTCCTAAAATACCTGTAATAGCTGGAAAAAATAACAAATATACAGAATATAGAGTGGAATTTCAAAATGTGATTGTAAAAGGTGTTGGGGGAAAGATTCTGCTTCTTACACAATGATTGTACTTTGCCATCAATCATAACTGGATTCATTTTGCCATTGCAGAAAATGAGTATTGCCATAGAAACTGCACACTCATAGACTGCTGGGTTTCAAGAATAGGTTGAGAGAAAGGAGCAAAGGAAAGGATTAAAACCCTCTCTCCCAACATAAGCAGCCTCATAAAGTGAAATGTCTATGCATTTCACAGTGAAAGTGCTTCAGCCTTTACTTCCAATCCACTTCTAACAACTTCTCTTTGTCCCTAGTTGGTCACTGTAAAAAGTCTTCTCTTTGGTTCCCTCAGGAAAGTTTTCTCTCTTTTCTCTTTGTTGTGAACTTTTGCTTGTCCACAAGCAAAAAAGTGAGCTGCATTTAAAAAACAAACTGAAAGAAATAAAGAATTAGATTTCACCACTGAGCTGGCAAGAAAAAGAGAGTTCTTAGCAGTCACAGAGTCAATGGAACTGCTGGAACATTATATAATTTTGAGAGCAGCAGCATGGTTTTAATACAAGCATGATGTTTCGCATAGTGCATGAAAAGCTCAAGGACTCAGAAGGTATTCCAGCCAAAGAATTTGAGCGAACAAAAAAGCAAATTCTAAGCCCACCTACTGCTTATAAAGCACAGATCATTGTGGAAAAGCTGAAGAGAAAAGAAAGGAAATTCAGAGGGACAGTGTGTACTTGTGTTCTCAACATTCCTCGGCTAATTGATTACTTAGTTAATGTTTGTCTCTGTATCCCTCTGAATAAGGGAGGAAAAAACAAACAAACAAATAGAATTTACACATTAATTTTCCCTGCTGAACATATTTCAGTTCATAATAGGCTTGGAGGCCTCTCCAACAATAAATAATTTTTAAAAGATCTTTCTTTTTTTCTCTGTTTGTTCACTGTTTGGTTTTGGATTTTTTTTTCCCCTACTTCTCCATACTGAACTCCAATCCCTAAATCAAATAAGGCTTGAACCACAAAAGTCAATAGAAACCTTTCCATTGGCATCATTTTTTGCACCATGTTTTCATCAATTTACACTTTTAGATTCCAAACTCTACATGAATACTGCAGAGCTGGGAGCTCACAGAATTTCATGCATTCAGGCTTTACCTGAACATGCTGTGTCAACAAATGCTGCTCTATTAAAGAGAGGTGCAACTTAATGACAGCTATCTGATACATACTGATAACCTTCATCTCCCACTGAGAAGGGTCAGAGAATGCCTAAAGCTTCTTAATCATAATGAAAAGCAGGAACAGTTTCTATCTTAAATGTATATAGTGTTGGGGGAGATTTTCAGAGTAGCTTTTGTAAATAGGAATCAAGGTCACTGAGTTTGACGCTGAGCTCTGTATACCTTTCCTATTCCAAGTATATTGGGAAAAAAATAATCAAAGAAGAACATAACCTGTTTGGTAGCACTCAGAACTCCAGTTTTCTGTTGGAGGTAGGAAATGCATAACTGACAAAGGGGAGCAGTATTTCCAATTGTTTGATGCTCAACAGTAACTGCTGGGTTCAAGTCAGAAGGATTGCACCCATTTTATCTGAATTGCTTTTTTCTGTTCCTAGTGTGACCCTGTTTTAATATGCACTTATTTTCCTGTACTACGGGACACCTAGAAACTTAACATCCTTCAGACAGCTTCGACAGCAAAGTGGTTAACGTTTGAAGAATGAGTCATTCTTTCATTTGCTATGACATGGGTTCTTATTGTACAACCCTGTACAGTACTTAGCAATATTTTTTAAAGATTTAAAAAGCAAAGAGTTATAAAACCATTTGCAATTGACTTGAAATAGAAAAGATAGCACTTTTTTTAAATCCCATTATATAGTACACCGTATAAATTACAGAGTATTCAAATGCATAAATGCATCTTTGTAACATTTATCAAATGTAATTTTCTCATTGTTGTTTGGGGGCTTATTCTTCCCAAAGTTTTTTCTCTTTGTCCTAGACACCCCCATCTCCCTTCACTATCACGTATGACAGTGCTCCAGGTCTGAGACATTGCTGTTGCAGTATCGCATATTGTTGGGGATGTGGCAGTCTGTGTAGTTAATGCCCCCGTTTGGGGTATAAATGGGCTGCAGTCTGAAATCTCCTTTAAGGAGCTGATCATTATTTAAGGAGACAATCTGGAAGCTGGTTTCCGTCATCTCCAGGATGGAGTTGTCCTTCTTGGTCCCTGCCTCGCAGTAGTCGTCTTTCCGACGACCCCGGTTGTATTTCCACTTCTGGGAGGTGTAACGCCCCTTTTTGTGCATGTGCCAGCAAAAAATGCTGAGCAGGACCACGAGGACAAATATCACTGCACCCCCAATCAACCCTGCCAGCAGAAATGGGGAGCCCAGGTTCTGAGAAGTCGTCTGCTCATGGCTGGAGGGGATGTTGCTGCCATTGCTCAAAAAGGAAGCCTTGGTTGTGGCTTCTGAACAGACAGTGTCTTCTCCAGTTTGGTAATTATTATAAGTATCCAGTGGAACCAAACAAATCCGATAGGTAGATTTGGGCTCCAGATTTACCAAACTTAAGTGCTGTTTCTCACCACTAACTATACGCTCCTGAACGATTCCTCCTACCAGACTATGGCCCATTTTAACCCATGTGAGTTTATATGCCATCACAGTAAAAAGAGACATCCAGTTAACTTGGATGCAAGTATCATTCACAAAATGGATGGAGAGTTGAATCCTTTCAGATATAGGAGGTGTCACCCTTTCTCTGTTCTCCCTGTCAGGCACAGTGGGGAGCGTGGCTATGGTGGGAGTGAGAGGATTGTATTTGCTACCTGGGGGAGGAAATGAGGTGGGAGCTAATGTAGTTGACATGGCTGTAGCTGGGACTGAGGTGATGATAAGTGGCAGACCAGGGGTGGTGGTGGGGCATGACAGCATATTCATATTGAGCTCCCTGACGGCCATACCTCGGACCTGCTCTGGTCCCTGGCACATAAAACCCCGTACATTGATGGAAGAAGGAATAAATTTGAGCCATTCAGTGACCCACTTAATACTGCAGTCACACAACCAGGGATTATTCCTTACAGTGAGTTGCTTCAGGTTGTGGAGATTATCAAATACCCCCTTTACCAACATCCGAAGTTGATTGTTGGAAATATCAAGACGTTCCAGCTTGTGGAGGTTTGAAAAGGCTGTAAGTGGTATATGGGTTATCTGGTTGTCCTGCAAGTAGAGCCTTAGCAGATGTGTACCTGGAAGATCGGGAGGAGGATAGGTCAGTGAATTCCGCACTATTGAGAATTCCTTGAGCTTGGAGAGGTGGCTGAAGGTACCTTCAGCTATGCCTTTATTAGTAAGAAGATTGCCATCCACTATCAGACGCTCCAGACTTGTAAGATTCTGGAAGGCCAGGTCTGAAATGACAGCAATTCGGTTTTCATCTACTCGAAGTTCTTGTAAGTCCACCGGAAGGCCTACTGGTACACTGCTTAAGTGATTCTTGGACAAGAACAGAAGCTTGAGGCTGATGGCTTCCTGGAATGCCCCATCCTCAACACCAACAGTGGAGATGGAGTTGTCATCCAGATGCAGCTCTTCCAGCTTCAAAAGCTGAGCAAGGGCAGCCCGAGAAATGGTCTGGATGTTGTTTTCCTGCAGGTGGAGAACCCTGACATTCTTGGGCAGGTTCATGGGGAATTCATCCAATTGGTTGCCATACAGGTAGACTGTGTGCACAGACTGGACATTGTGCAACTCTGCAGGAAATCCAGCATTATTAATTTGGTTATTATGGAGGTAGAGGACAGTTACACCCTCTGGTATCCCAAGAGGCACTGAGGTCAAGCTTCGCTCATTACAGTAGACAAAGTTTCGATCACAGCGGCACACTTTTGGGCAGGCCAAAGTTTTGGAGACCTGCACGTACAGCCCCAGGGAAAAGATAAGCCATGATTTCATGAGAACAGCCCAATCTGTGGGCCACATTGTAGTCCACAAGCCCATTTCTAATTTAAAGAAATAAAGTACCAAAGTGTTAAAGAACTGATAACAATAATGAAGCACATGTAGCAAAATCTCAGGTCATTAAAATTGGCTTCTATTCATGTCCAGTGTTCAGGCCAGAGTTAAAGTCTTGGAGGCTAAGTATAAAATAATCCTTTTATAATTGGTCTACCTCCTACTTTTGATAAGAAAGCCACAGTCTTATTAGCCAGGGTTACAAAGTTTGTTGCCTTCCTCCATGTGTGCTGAAACAAACAATAGCTGTGTCTTTGTGGGTGAGCAACAGGCTAATTTAAAGCTACCAAAAGTCTTCTGTGTATGAGTTGCTTGGAGGGATATTTCCTTTCAGTGAAGTTTGTTGGTGTTACACTCAGCCTTCTGAAGTCAGAAAAGTCTTCATATCAGCTATGTGCCAGATCTGGCCCGCCTGTAAAAGAAAAAAAAAGGAAAGAAAAAGCTGAATAGCATGAAATGTTTATTAGGGAAGATCAAGCCCATTGGAAGACTATTCTAAGGCTGTGCTCGTTATGTCTTTCTGGAAAAAAAAAGCAGCATTAATATTAAGCATTAGCTTAACATTACTGTTAAATAGTCTTGAAATGTATTTGAAATATATTTAATGTAAAGTCACTGCAGTGATTAAAGGACTTTCAGTGACTTCAGTGAAGGCTAGATCTATCACTTGTGTTTGCATATGGTATCTCCAGTCTTTGTTCTTGCACAGTTTGTTTCAAATCCTAAAACTAAAACATTTTAAAAACCTAAAATTAAACCATTTGACTAGAAATTTTTGTTCTTTTTTTTTTTTCTTTTGCAGAACCACTGACATCAGTTAATGCTATTCACTGATGCCTGACAGAGTAGACTCTGGACTGTATTATTTAATCATACTCTATGGTGTGGTTTTTTTCATTTCCTACCAGATTCTGGAATGTTCTTCATCTATTACTGTAATGCCATTCTCTATATTTTCTATCTTAATGCACACTGCCAGATTACTGCACCTCACTACAATGAATTAGGTTCTTACGAGGAGAGGCTTTTAAATAAGCACAGTAATCCACAACTACAAGATACCTTGATGTAAGGCATGCATTAGCTAAAACAATTATCTTGATACTGTTTCTGATGTGAGCTGTGCTGTCAACAGACTTCAGTATTAGCTTTGCAGTAAATAAAACAGGCCCACATCTGCTAAGTTACTGGTTTAGGATACCGGCTCAAACTACAGCAGTTTTGCAGGAGAGTACTTTTTTCAAGCCATAAAGGTTAAATGCTTCTTTTAATTCTGCTACACAGTTGTCTGTGAATGGCTACATAAGCAAATTTGTACAGATGATTTCTTCAACGTATATTTTCAGCTAAATGCAGTTTTTATCTTTTATGTTCCCAGCTACTATTTATTATTCAGATCTATAACCAAAGACATCCACCCTCTAAAGCATGCAATGAAAGGTACTGTATTGTGTGATGCTATCTTGTTATGTGTTGTTTCCAATGACTGAAAAAAAAAGTGTTGCATTTTACATGTTTGAACCTAATGAAGGATATAAATCTTGACAAGGACCAAGCATTTGTAGATCACAGCATCATAGAATGGTTAGGGTTGGAAAGGACCGTAAGATCATCTAGGTCGAAACCCTTGCTAGGGACAGAGACACCTCACACTAGACCATATCACTCAAGGCTCTGTCCAAACTCTGCCAGGGATGGAGCATTCACAACTTCCTTGAGCAGCCCATTCTGCTGCCTCACACCTCTCACAGTAAATAAAATTTTGCCTATATCTAATTTAAATACCCTCCATTTAAGATCTCAGGGTCTTGAATTGCGGTTACATAAGCATAGTGTTTTTCCAGATTTTGTTTACCCAGAACAAATCTCATTAGCTGGGATTTCAGGAAAATAGAATTTCAGTGAACAGAAATCATGCTTACAGATCTTCTTACTTTACTTAAGCAGTTTAAGCACTATTCATGTAATTCAGAAAGAAATGTAGTTCAGAAGTACATGAAAGTTTGTTCTTCAGCTACAGCTGTACAGCTTATAACATGTCCCAGACACTGCTTTTCAGAATCCGACGGACTGACAGGTTCAAAGTCTCAACTGTTGTAACCCTGCAATCTTGCACTTGCAGGTTAGTATAATTATTTGGACCATCATCAGGGCTCAGCCTCAGGGCTAGAACAGTTGGAGATAAGAAGTGAAACCCTGAAAAATCCTGTATCTTATCACTATGAATTAAAATGGTAAATGCATGCATACCGTAATACAGGCTATACTGTGTATTGTCCTTTTCTGGAAACAGTAAGATTAGCTACCACACTGCTCAAGGTTTTCTCTCTTACACATTTCAGTTAAGAGTAGTTTCAATTATGTAAGATGACGTGATTCTGTAGAGAAACTCTTAACAGGATTACAGTGTAACATGAGCCTAAGTGTGACAATTTATCTGCCTTTAATATGGCCTGGCTCCCATCTAGATCATACTGCTCTGATCTGTCATGACACTGTCTTTTTAAAATGAGAAAGGACAGGCAGAGCCTCCTCCGAGATGCTTAGGACCACACAGAGTAATAATAGTGGTTCTCTCGCTCCCTTGCATCATCAGAGAGAGACAGCCCCTAATAGGGCCAATACCCTGCACTGAGCTCTATTTTGACTGTAAGTCTGATTGATGATTAGGTTTTATTTGACTCCTGGGTATGACAGAAAGCCCAGCTGAGGATGTGCAGCTGCAGGCAGCTGCTCCTCCTGGTTTGCTGGAAATCTCCTGTGGAGGAAATGTGATATTAAAACTGATTTATGCATTCACCTTATTCTAGGATTCTGGCCAGACTACCTCTCACCTAGGTAGATATGACATCTGAATAAAAGATTTCAGTAATGATTCTAGCACAATGGGTCAAACACACAGCAGTTTAAAAGAGCTTTGACTGGATAGTCACCTAAGCATATTAGCACTTTGGAAGCTGGCACTCTGTAGTTTATCTCCTTTTTCTTATTACATGCATTTGACCTTAGAAATCTGTCAAAACTTTCCTATGGTTTTCTCCCCTCGTGATGGTGAGAAAGGGAGTCCTTTTATTAACATCAGTATCCTAATCTCCAACTATCAGTCCCTAATAAACAAGTACTATAAAACTCAGAAAATATGCATTGGTAGATACTGTTGATTGTATTAAGCAAGAGCAGAAGGACAACTCTAATTGGATATATATGGCTTCAGGGTTGAATGTGGTGTGCTAGAGGTAAAGAATGAGGAAACAAGGATACAACTGAATGCGTTTTAATATTTTTTTGGGGGGGAAAGCTTTACCTAAGTAGTCTTTTACAACTGTTTAATACTAATTCATAGTGGTGGTCACAGTTGCAGTATTTTTCAGCAAATCTCAGGGACCCTAATGCAAAAGTGAATTATGTTCCTGTGTTAGAAATATGCCCCTCAAACACATCAAAAAGATTGAAGAGCTGAACAAACTGATTTAAAGATCAGCTCTGTGAAGGAAAAGCATCTTATGCAAATTCCAGAAGGCTGGAAAATCTTAAACACTTTGTTCTTCAGCAAACTGCCAAAACTGGAGGCAACTAGAGTAAATGAGCTTTCCTCCCACCCCTGACATGCTGGCTCCATCAAGCAAGCTCTCCGTTTTCAATATTCTTACAAGAACTGAACTGAGTGTCTCTGCGAATGAACTGATCAGAGACAGAATTCTGGAAGTGGAGGAATTAAAGGCACTTTTTAGCTTTCATGATTTTAAGCCTTATGAGTTGACGCATAAACAGTAGATGGTAGTGACTTTGCTTATTGCGAAGCTGGAAAATTTTAATCCTCTAGGAAGAGAGGATGAGGGTAAGGGAATCTGTCACCATTAACTTTAAGAAATCAATTGGCAAATGCCTCAAAACACATCTGCCCATCTATTATCACCTTCATAATTTTGGTTTCTGTTTCCTTATCCTGTATACTTGATTTTTATTATTTCTCCCTATATCCTCCTTGGAGCATAAGCCACATCTTCCAAGCGTCTAGGACATTTCCTGTTTTCCTACAAGCCAAGATATTAAATCCCATTCGGATTTAAGGAATGATATAACTGTTGAGAAAAGCACATTGAAATGATGAGAACATATGCACATGTTTTAGGTGGCTATGTCTGAAACTTTGGCTTAGTAGTCTGAGTTCCTGACATCAATGGAAACGTACCCTTTCGTATCTTAAGAGTAGTTTCTGATCAACATTTTTATCTCACTATCTTTTTTCAAAACTGCCTTATTTAAGTTCCCTTTTGGCATGATTAATTCTAGCTGGAGAAGAACAATTCTGTCTTTGTGTACTTGATAACGATGTCGAATTTGCTTTTGTTCAACACTGGAACTGAAGAGCTCCTTTAGGAGATTTTGATTAAAGGTATTCAAAGGATGAAACATCTGGCTGCAAGTTGTGAACGCGAAGGTTTTATTAGTCTCCCCATCACTGGTCAGAATCATCCATCCAACTCCACGCTTTAGTCACCTTGCTGTGCACAGGCAAAAGAATTTAGCTTTAATAAACAAACATTTTTCAATAATTAATATATTACTGAAAATGCTACTCAATCATAAATTTGTGGTAGCTAGTTAAAAAACTCCAACAACCCACTAGCACCCTACTTACGGAACTCCTTCCTATCTCAGTGACCAGTATTGCCTCAGTGGCTGTGTCTGTGGCGTCTAAAGTAGCTTCCAAAGCTGCACACATGGCCATCGTCCCCACCTTTCATGCTGCAGTCTTCCAAACATGCAGTGCCAGGTTTATCACTCAAGGTCCCTGTGGCTGCCTGAGAAGACAATGTTCAGGGGAGATAACAGAGAATAAAGAGAGGAGTTACCATATGGAGGACGTACCACACGCTATTATAACGCAGGAGTTTTGCTGTGCTCCTGAAGCCAGGTTGTCTGTCTTCATTACTATTCCCATATATTATATTAACTCCATTATTTTTTTAAAGGTAATAAAATTAGCAATGCTTGGCTATTCTTTCCTTCAAGGAATCCTGAAAATAATCAACAACAGGTATTAGGAATCCAAGTTTTTTTTTTCTCTGATATCCAAACTACTCAGCACCACTTTTCCTAGCAAGCAGTTCATCCATTTATTGGACTATGAGGGCCACGCAACATAAACTGAAAGGCAAGTAAACACAAACGGTCACATCTATTCTTTTCAATACTATCAGTAAGTGACTCTCATTTAGCATAAAACCATTTGGCATAAATTTTCTTGGCTTTATTGCAGACCAAGGTCATAATCAAGTCATAATCTCACACTACATAATTATAATATACAGCTAAGTACAAGGCTACTATGTCTGGAATTGAATGATAACCAGAAACAAATCTAATTCTATTCTTCTGAAACCTAGTACAGAGTTTCTAGTACTTAAA